CGAAATTCTTGAACATTAACGTTGTTTGGCTACTCGTAACTACTCGTACCCGAAATATGCTTGCAATGGAGAAGATATGGAAGTATATATCGTACCTTTGCTGAGTGTCATAATCCAAAACAATATCAAAAATAAAATTATTGATATATAATTGATATATATAGCGATTCCGTTTAAGAAGAATAGGAAGTTCCCTGACTTGATTTAATTTAACTTTTTTAAATCAGCTAAAAATATGATTAAAGTGATTGGCCCTTATTCATAGACAAAATAAACTCCACAGTAAAGTTAGTTGCAGATTTTTGATTTAATTTTCAATGGGATATCTGTAAAAAAAAAAAACTGCAACAAACTTTACAGTCTTTATATGCACATATGAACATAAGCACTTTTTAAGTAGCTATCTATGTGAACAATGTTTCAAATTATTTTTTTTGTCTCTAAATTTTTCAGAACATGCCATTTTGCCCTTGGGACCAGAGCCAACCATTGTTTCATGTCCAGCATGTCATGTCACGAAACTAACACGCATCGACTATGAACCAAGCGCCAGGACACATTTAATGGCAGCAATACTTTGCATAGTGGGGTAAGAAATTTAGTAAAATCAATGAGAAGCTGTTAATTTAATATGTACATACATACTTGTAAGGCATTCTTAGTAAGTTTAAATTCTACAGATTGGAAATGGAATGAACAAATTTAAAGCCCAATGCTACAGATAAATCTGACTCAGGCGCGGTAGCTTGGTGGCTAGAGGTTAATACGAACACACGGTAGGGCACAGATTCGACCCCTAGTCTGTGCAGCATCCCATAACTACAAGAAACATTTTTTAATTGAACTGGCCTCTCATAAAAGAAGCCTTTAAAAAACAATTCGGCAAAGATATAAAACTGTAGGCCCTTCTATTTGTGCATCAACAACAAGAAGCTCGGCTGGGCATTTAACATAAATGTGAGCGACAAATATACATATATTTTGCGATAAATCGACATTAATTATAACTGATCCATGCAGAGTAATACAGCAAATTTTAGAGATAATTGCTATGCACAAACAATACTTTAAAACTTGTTTGAATGGGTTCCACTAATGGATCAAATTTCGTATTGGTGCCACTGTGTTTATGCAATGGTTGTTATATACCCAAAAACGAACATAATTTTTTTTAGTTAGGCCAAACTAAACTTGGTAATTTTTAAAATTTTTGGCCGCAATGATTGAGATTTGTTTAGTAGTAGGAAAGAAGAAAATCACAATAAATTCAAGCCTAACAAAAAGGTTATATATATATTTTGTATAGTGAAAGCTCCCATAAGCTGACACCGATGGTCATCTACTTTTGGTCCGCCTATAAGAGATGTCCGCTTATGGGCATTTCGTAAACAATAATATTAAAATTCAAATTAAAAAAATGTCAAGTTCGGCTTCTAAATTAAAATGATAATAAATTTAGTTATTTATTTTTAAGAATTTTCAATTAAAATACTGTTCATTTTCTAACAAAACCCCTATAAGCCCAAGTTTAAAACTTTCTAAAAGACTACAAACGTCAGCCTGGAGATCAAGCGAAGAATAACACTGCCAACAGGTGATACTTTGGGTGAAGAAGAAAAGACTACAAAAAAATTCCACATATTTTCATCCAAAGTTAAAATTCTTTTCTCAGAAGCGTAAGATTTTTTTTTAGAGCCATTCATTTTGAAATGGGGGATACTATGTATGATTTTACGAATATAAATTTATACAAAATTATTAAAAAAAAACTTATCAGCAGACTTACTTACTTACTTACTTCCTTTTGAGTTTGATAAATTTGCGCATTACGACAAAACGCATACCTACAACCACACACACACAAAGAACTATTACGTATTAAATGTTATGCATGAACTGCATAAGCTTCCGCAGCCAAGCAAACAAAGATTCACATTTCATTTACGTAATTGAAAACGTTTTACGCACGATTGCATACACACACATTATAGAGATAAGAAAAATAAAGATAAATAAATTTACACATTTCCATCTAATTTAACTTAACTTTTGTTCAATCAATTTCAGCTTATGGTGTTGCGTCTGTTTGCCCTACTGTGCAGAGAGTTGCATGAGTACGAACCATTATTGCGGTAATTGCAATAAATTCCTGGGCACCTACAATGGCGGCGGATTCTAATGGATTGTGAAGCGGGCAGAAAGCAGCGGTTGACCTTCAAACCCTCGCCAGCATTATTCTTTTATTTTCGTTTACATTTTTATAAAACCAGTAGTTAATCAATGAATCTTAAATTTTTTCATATTTAAGTACTATTTATGTAGTATATAGTGCGATAGCACGAAGGTATTGCATGCGCAGGAACAGAAGCACCGTGTACATATGTATATGGCTAACTGTTTACAAGTGTTAATGCACGATTATTTAATGATTGATAAAAGCTTTAAATAAACTTACATAATAAATACTTATGTACCTCTACACAATAAAGTATATTTTTCAAAATAGTTAATGTGATAATGCATACATATATATGTGTGTGTGAAAAAGTATTTATGGGCGTACAAATTATGTACATATTGTTGAAATAGAAAAATAAAATTTCTCCTTATAAGTACATTAGGGTGGTCCTTAAATGTTGGACGCAAATTTTTACATCAGATTTCCTAAGCCTCAACTCCTACATCGATGCTACCATTATCGGAGATATCACATATATGTCTCATTGATCCACAGAAATCCAATATACATAGACTTATGTCAGACTAAATACCTTAAATGTCTTCAAATTGTAACACGCGAAGGGATGTTTTCAACGGGACAAAAGATCTGCACCGTTCACTCGATTTTCAAATATGGGGTGTCAAATTAAAGCGCTTGGCCTGTAGATGTACACTAAGGTTTAACTTAAAAAAAGTGCCCACCTTTTAAAACATTATATTCAAATTATTAAAAAATAAATTGATCAATCATTACAAAATGGATAACAATTGAAATGGTTTCGAAAGGTTTCATTTGTGTTTAAAAATTCAAATTCAATTTGAATTAAGGGAATTAGTTAGGAGAAGTTTGCTGCAACATATGGGTGCCAAACGAAAGGGCGTTCAGAAGGTAGTAGTTTGAAAAAATTTTGAAGAGGGTTGCCACCTGATTGATAGGTCGAACTTAGTTAACTCATACACAAGTTATATAAAACATAAAAATACGGATGCAACGAAATAATGTTAAGAAATCTTTAGTTTGAACACAAAGAATATTTTGGATATGTTGGGAGAGTGTTGCCACCTGTTTATAAATTAAATTTAAACTATTAATAAGTTAAATAAATTATTAAAATATGGGCATCAATCGAACGGTGTTTGAAAAATCTTTTTTCTTGAACTATATTCAACGGGCTTGCCACATGCTTAAAAAATAAAGTTCAACTTAATACATCAGTTAATTGAAATGTGTATCGCAATGCCAGACGAAGAAGAGTTAGAAAAGTTTTAGTTGAAAATAATTTTGCTATTTTTCATGGCAGAAATACACTCCGAGGCTTGACATTGCCTGCCGAGGGAGGACCGCTGTTAAGAGAAAACCTTTTTTTATATTTTATTACTAAAGGATGGGTATCAATCGAAATGGGTTTGAAAATGCTTTATTTCTGAAATGGATATGTTTAAAAAATCAAATTCAACTTGAATTAAGGCAATTGCATACTTGAAATACATACATATGCACCCAGGAGGAAAAGCAATAATGCATTCCATGCGTGATAAATAATCGAATGTATTACTTATGAATTTTAGATCCAATTACCGTTTAATATGTAATCAGCATTCTAATGTATTCAAACATTCGCAAAAATTTCATATTAAATCCCACTGGGCATGTATCACAATATTGTTGTCCAAAGAAAGAGTTTAAGAAGGATTTAGTTTTAAAATATTTTAAGAGGGCTTGCCACATATTTTTAAAAGTTGAACTTAGTCAACTACTACAGAGGTTATATGAAATATTGGTGTCAAATGAAAGAGTGTTAAGAAGAATATAAAACGGAAGGCAAGTAAATTACTCCCCAGTTGGCAATAGAAGGGCCTGAAACCCCATCTAGAAGCACTTCTAGTCCTTATATTGGCAGACAGGAGCACTTCTACTTCTCCTTCTTTTTTGTATGAGATGTCCCACTTGTCAAGGCCTTCCCTTTCCTTCCCTTTCCCTTTCTCTGGGGAGGGCTTCCATGTGGACTTCTATAATAAAGGCTGCAGAAGCCCTTCCTGAATTGTGCTGTTATAGTGGCTTATTATTTAATTAAAGTAAGTACTTACAAAGTGGCTCATTTGGTAAGGCCTTCCACCTCCCTTCCTCTGAGAAGTGCTTTAAGGTATACTTCCATAAGAAATGATCTAAAACCCCTGCATGAATGGTTGCCATTTAATGGCTTTTTATTTAAATAAAATAAGGGCTTACAAAAGGAAGATAACAAAAACATTAACAAATTTCAAAGTAAATAATACTGTACACAATTATTTACACTTGCGATCAAAAATCAAAAATTATAAAAAATCTGCAAAGTTTCATCTAAATTTTCAACTATTTATTGAGATTGTGGAAAAAATGCGTAGTACCGTCAGAAAAAAAACTTGCACTTTATTATACTAGTAGGTATTTATTGGGCTATTAAACTACATATTCCAAAAAATTCTGAAAAATCTCAAAAAAAAGTTGAAAATTTAGTTGAAACTTTGCAGATTTTTTATAATTTTTGAACAAAGTTTAAAATGCGGATTTATATGATGTTTGTTATATAATGAGCTAGACTTTAATGAAAAAATAATGAACATTAAATAAACCAAAGAAAAATATCCAAAATTGATCAAAACATTGCTCCCTCATTTAGCTGATCACAATGAAAGTGATTGTAATTTAAATTTCGTATTTGGAACTCAAAAATTCCAAATACAAATAATGCAAATAATTCTTCTTCCAACTTATATAATACAGACCGTAACTCCCATAATTGATCACATGGTGATTTTTTACAATATTTACTTGTTTTTTTTATAAAAGTTTATTCTATACCATAAAAAAAACAGTTTTATAGCCCATTTTATTTTAGTATAACAAGATGCAAGTTTGAAGTACCTATGAATTACAGTGGATTTTTTTTTTTAATTTTCGTCTTGGCAATTTTTTTTCGCACTTGTATCTTGTTATACTAAAATAAAATGGCGCGCCACGCCCACTTTTACTTTTTTCTACCTCAACGGGCCCTATTTTTTACTTGCTCCAAAATACTTAACACGAACAGTTGCCGTACGTTGAACAGCGTTGCATTTAGGCAGAGATCTGACTATGCAGCTTCTGAGGAAGGGTTTTTGAAGGGCATTAAAACGAAACATGCTGACAGGCCTCCTATGAGAAGCCTTACGAGAAGGGCTTTGTTTGAGAAGCCCTTTCTCAAATGCCAACTGTGTAATTGTGTAATGCACATAGAGAATCTAGCCAATTATTTTCATCATTACTTAGTACGATTAGCTGCATATTTCGGGATGGCCACGTGCATGGTAACTTCACCGAGGTGTTGTTTGTTTGTAAGAACCATTTTTCGGCAGAAAATTATGAGCCTCGGGAGGATGTGTCCAATCTAAGCAAAACGCGGAACCAGCAGCAGCAGAGCGGGTAGTTTATCTGTCTATAATTTATAACAAGGAGCTCTAAGAATAAGGATTTTTTTACCTCCCTCTTCATGACTACATCATGCGTCATCATAAATCATGCTTTCATTGACGGTAAGCTACTTTTTAACCATTCCATTGTTTATATTTCTACTAAAGAGAATCTGGTCAAAGCAACATCCTAATATCTAAATTTCATTTAAAAAGTATTGAAATTTCCAAAACAATAATTTGTTGAGGAGGCAGTGCTGCTTGAGCAATTTACGAAAAGTATAAACGTCATGAGCGTGCGAGTAAACGTGTTACATAGCCACGTATGGTGCAACGGGCCGTATACGTTACATACGCAACACCGATGATTAAGTATTTCACCAAAACTACCTAACTTACTTAGTTCCCCAACAGAGCCACGTGGTTACTCACAATTTTTTTTAGCATATTAGCAAAAAATATTGCAAGGAACATTTTGACAATTAAACGCCATAAAAATCACAACGAGAAATTTTTAAAAATTCTATTAGAGAAAAGAACATTTATAAAAAAGTTTGAAAAGATTTAAATTGCAAAAAAAAATTCTTATCGTCTTTTCGAAAACTAGTTTTTTTGCGTACTCATAAGGTTTCATGAAAATCGCATGACAACTTTGGTCGCAGTTCTTATTGAGAAAATAAGGTCCATAGATATTAAATTAAAAAAAAAAAAAAAATTATGTTAAAAAATCGAATACTGGCGAAATATTAGTGGATACTCAAGCTGAGAAATTCAAATATTTATTTCAATATTCATTACTTTGTGAAAATCGAGGGGTCCACTTCAGGAATTTTTAGTCAGTCATGTTTTTCGTCTAATCGGACCCTTGCCGTTTTGAAATCGTCTTTAGTTTTCATTTTTGTGCTTTGAAATAAAAGGTTTGCTCGACAAGCCATTTGAGTTCACTTCGAGTTACACATTCATACATACATATGTGCATATAATCGGCTTATTGACATAGTGTTTGACGTCCCTAAAGTAACTAAGTATTGCAAATGAACACGAAAATTATCCACTAATAACCAATGAATTTGTCATTCCTATTTTTATGTACTTATGTACATATGTATAATTTAACAGCAAAC